ATAACATAAGTGGAGCTCAGTTCATGACCCACACACGACATACTGTCACTCTGTAACTTTCCCTGTCCCCTGCACTGATCAACTGGGATCCAAGCGGACAGCCCCCATAGGTCAGTAAACAGTGCAAGCTGCTGATGGTGCAGTTTGGGTCAGTTCGTTTAAAACAAAAGGCCTGTTGTTTCTGTACTGGCCCTACATTTGACTGCATGAGGGAGTAGTCCGCTAGCCCGCTGTGTACAAGCCCTTACCCAAGTGAAACAACTGCAAATGGGTGGCACCATAAAGCTGCAGTGTCTGAGGTGGCCTATAGGCAATAACTTCAGATCGGAAACTGTAACATCCAAAGTCTCTGGAATTATTAAGCGAGCCAAACTAAATGATCAGCGATGCGTTTACAGTAATCAATGCGTTTTCACCTCAGGGAAATGTGCAAGTCTGCACTATGGCTATTGGAATATCATCTACAGCACATAAATCTCACTCTCCCCGTCCTGTTAGAGAGATTGATCGGCAACATTGATCTTTTGTCTCCCTATGGTGGTTGATTTATGAGGCTGCGTACGGGAGTCCTTCCATGGAGAGACATGCTGTTTGCAGTTCCTTTAGCCTGCGTGCTGAACAGTTGGAGCTGCCGCTACAATACTATCCTCTGAACCGATACTGCCCCTCCTCCACGACTGTGTGTGTGTAAAGGAAGACCTGGCAATGAAAAGAGATGAAGTCCAACAGCGGCAGCTTGGGAGAATGACTTCAGAGAAGGTTGATATATCAGCACAACTCATCCCGCATGCATACGGCAGAGTCATTTCAGGCTGTTCGGAGCCTGCAGGGGGACAAGGCTCATCTTTAGCTCTTACTAACACGGCTAAACGTAATAATCACAAGAACTGAATCACCGCACTAAAGAAAATTATGCTTTCGCAATACCTTTCAGCTCAAATTAGCATAAGCCCCACACAGGAGGATACAGAGCATCTTCAGAGGAAGGAAAATAATCTGGAGATGAAGAACCACAACTGGAAAGAGGAAATATAATATATACAGCTCCACGATTATGGATTTCTTATACACGTGTGTGGCTGGTGTACACAAAAGCACAGAGTCAGGTGGGACTGTGCCAGCATGCACAAAGGGTGTGTGTGTGTGTGTGTGTGTGTGTGTGTGTGTCAGTAATGCTCCACAGCAAAGGCTCTCAACGAGTGGGTCGCAGATCTGTTGTGATAAGGTCATGGGCAAAATGCAAATAATGAAATACAATTAATTAACCATAACATTTCTATACGTTAGGGAGAAAACATTTCTCCAGCATTTTGTTGTTAATGTCAAAAGGTTGTGCATTCAGTTAATATGCGATTTACACAAATTCCTGATAGAAGCCATATTAAACAGATTCAACTGTTAAAAAAATAAAATTGTTACGTGGATTTACATTACATTTAATCATTTAGCAGCTAAAACGACTTACAAAAGAGAAGAACAATAGAATTTTAGAACAATTGAATTTTTTATTTTCATTTTTTATTAAAGGCGATACATTAGAAAAGAACAGATATAGTACCTATGTCTATATATGAGTGTTAGATACCAGCAATATGTAAAAATAGAAGAAATAAGCATACACTATTAAATATCTAACATCAAGTATTTAATCAAAAATACAGGCAAAAACAGTAATATTGTGAAATAGTATTATAAATTAGTTTTTGAATACATCTTTATATGCAATTTTATTTCAGTGATGGGTAAGATGAATTTGCAGCATCATTACTCCAGTCTTCAGTCACATGATCCTTCAGAAATCAATCTGATATGCTGATCTGCTGCTCAGGAAACAATTCATATTATTTTCAATGTTGAAAATGGTTAATATTTCTGATTTTCTCTGGATTCTTTAATATACAGAAAGTTCAAAAGCTCATTTGTCATTGAAATCTTTTGGAACTAAGCCTATGCGTATTGTTACTTGATCAATTGAATACATTCTTGCTGAAAAAAATTTAAATATAAATTTATTTCAAAAACTAAATCTAGTAAGTCCCTAAACATGCTCTCAATCCTCAACTCCATGAACAAAAATACACAAATTACAAGAAAACACTCAGACTCAAGTCTAATTCAATACAGGTTCACATGATGGGTCAAAAAACAAGCTTAATTTCAGTGTTCAAAAAGACCAGTCTGAGGGTGCAGAGAGCATGAAATCCTCAAAATTCAATTAAGCCAACAGTAATAGCATGTGAAGCACTCAACAGTACACTTACTCAGGGTAAAAATCACAATATAGTTCATCTTTCTTCTATCTACACCTTTATATGGACTCCGTAGTGGAGATTAAGATGATCACGGTACCAAAATTTCAGCCGTCGGTACCAATGCCAGTCAAATTTCACAGTTCTCTGTACCAATTTTGGTTCAGTAGCAGAGCAATAAACCGTTGAATTGAGTAATTTAATGTTGTTCCGTTTTGTCTCATCCGTTGGTCATCAATGTCAATCATCGCAGTTTGTTTCTGATTCAATAATGCATTTATATACAGTACGCTTGTCAATCTAGAAACTTTAGCAGCATGAAAAACTACATTTGTATTCAGAATGTGAATGGGTAATAAACAGAAAACAATTACGAGGATGTCAATCTCACTGAATTCTGCACTCTTGCAAAACAAAAAAAACAAAAAAAAAACAATATGATAAAAAGCTGTTGTAATCGAACCTCTTACTTACATCATGTTTACACTTTGTCAGTTATAGTGAAAGGATTCACAAGGATTCGTGGACAGGTCGTTGTGTTCATGTTCTTAACAGATATGATCGTGATTGGCTACTGCTCAAGGCTTGTAAAAACATGCGGTAAATACAAACATTTGACACTCGACGAGCGCTCAAACAAACATGAACTAGAATGTTTAAAAGCAGCGTCTATCGATGAGTATCAAATATAATCCGGTACTACCAGTACTAGGGGTGCAAGAAAAAGAAAAAAAAAACGATACACTTGAGTATCGCGATATTTTATTTTGCAATACTGTATCGATTTTTATTTTATTTTTTTTGGCTATGCATAGACGCACCACTAGCCGTTTTGCTAGAAACAACATAGCTATGGCTGAACCCCGCGCAAAGACCGGCTCCTGCTCTATTCCTTTCGGCATGTTAAAGTACTGCTGGTACGGTACCGACTGCATGGTACTGGTACATTTGAAAACCTTAGTGGAGGTTCATGACCCCCACACTCATCCTCAAGGACACCAATAAAAATGTCAGTAAACTCAAATATCCTCAACTGTATCATTACAAAAATCAATCAATTACAATCATTTCAAACCATTTTTAAGACTCCATCCATTCTTACAGGTCTACAAACACAGCACATGTATGTTCAAATCGATTTGCCATGGTTCCCTGGCAAGTGTGTTTCCATGGAAACAAGCCAGCCTGTAGCCTATTCCATAGATGTGCGTCAGGGAAGCATTCGGTTTGAACAAAATTAAAATGGAAATTATATGACCCATGTCATGAGCAGTGAAATAGAAGCACATATCCATGGGCTAATCCAGGGGAAGAATCTTTATTTCAGTTACCCATGATGCCTCTCTCTGATCATTGGTAATAGCTTGAAGACTTAGATCATTGACTGAGAAACCCTAGTGTGATCTTTGCATTCACGGCCAATCGATGCGATAGTACTTTCATCCTCATCTGTAACACCACATTTCCACCTGCAGAAAATCCCTGTTCCACCCTGGTGGTCTGCAGCCTTTATCTGGTCAATCCCAACCATTTATCACTGACCCAACACTAAAACCATCATGCAACACCTTTGTTATGTCATAAAACAATTACACCATTGCTCTGAAACATCCGCTGCAAAATAAGACGTGACCTCTACAGATTCAACAGGAAGAACAACACAATCATCATTTATGCAAATGCAAAGATGCATCTTAAAAATGAAGGTCCTCAAAGCAATGCCTTAGAAGAACCATGTTGGGTTCACCCAAAAAACCTTCAGTAAGTTGTTCTTAATAGTGTAACAAACTTTTTAATTATGAAGAACCTGGAAAGGTTCCACCATCATGGATGTTAAAGGTTCTTCAATGAACCATATGCCAAACAAAAACATGAATGTGGCATGCAAATGAAATGAACAGATTTGTTCCTACGGAAATAAGTTCAATCCATCTTATGTTTAATTATGTCTATCCAAAAAGAAAAAAAAATCTGTTAACTTCTATATCACATACTCATCTAAAATAACAAGTCAAACATCAGTTTTACACGTGTGCTCTGATCCACATCATGAATCAAGCATGACATGTTCACCTCCCAATCCCAAACTGCTATTTGTCTTGCCAGTGTGACATTGACGGGTCAATTCCAGTGCTTTGCTATTGATCCGAAGATAAAAATAACTGAAACCATCCTGCAACATCATTTCTTTATATCAACTCATCACATTGACATCCACGTCATGAATCAAAAACCTGACTTCATCATCTCTGCAATGAGAAGACATGTTGTTACACACAAACACAAATTCTACCGCAGTCAAATCACTACTGAAAATACTCAACTTCAGCTAGGACTTTCACATCCACCTACAAGAAACTAAAACCACCAGACATCTGTATTGCAACTCGCTTGATTCATGATGTGCATCAGATCAGATCACACGTTGAGTGTCCACCTCCAATCTATCCTTCCAGCCAGTGCAATTCCAGAACTTTTTCTTTAAAAGAACTGAAACCATTGTGCAGTGCAACACAGTTTCATACTTGCTTTAAAACATCTGCACAATAGCAAAGACCATAACCTCATCATGCAATGCAAAGACATGCTAAATGTTGCATGCAGATTCTACAGGAACCAGACAACCAACACACTCCAATCGGATGTACAACTCACTGACAACTTCTGCCAAGACTTTCACGTCCACCAAACATCAGTGATGTGAATGTGATGCACATCATGAATCAAGCACTTGTCTGCAGTGCATCTTACCAGAGTGCTCTGCTGGTCCTCCGCCGTTGGCGAAGAGGGCCGAGTACAGGTGAGGGTATGTCTTCTCCAGGGCCACACAGAGCTCCAGGAAATGGTCGCTATCCTTGTTCATGAGCATCTTCAGGAGCTGCTCCACTTTCTCGGCGCTGGAGGAGCAGTTTTGGTCCAGCTCGAAGGTTTCCTGTTCGCTGAGGCTTCCCGATTTACTCAGCAACTCTATCAGCCGGTCCGCATCCGTGATGGACTCCAGTAAGTTCTGGTGGTACTGGTGGAGTAACTCTTTGTGCTTGGGCTCCATTGCAGTTCCCACAGTTGTCTAGCTAACTAGCTAGCTCCGTGCTATCGCCGTAGACCCAATTCCCCTCACACAAACCCGATGAATGCAGCAGCAACTTCCCTCTATCCGCTCACTTGTAGGATTTGAGCCACGGCGCCATGAGATGTGATGGCTTAACGTTAATCAAGCGGGGTTTCATTACAAACAGTAGAAAGGCACAGAAGCCATGTTTGTTGCCTGAGGCTGTTGACTGCACTAAACAGCGAGACATTTCTCCCGGATCACTTACGCGAAGCAACTTCGTCTATTTTCCCCAGCGCTTCCGTGGAGAGCATGTTCATCCGCGTTTATAGTTTCTTCTTGGGCATTTATTTGGCGCTGTGCGGACTCAAGTGTGAGCAAAAGTAGCGCAACTCTTCTAGCGTTCCCTACTCAAACTGTACGCTCCGCCATGTCTCGGTATCTCAGCAGCTGCTGCCTGCTGTCAATCAACTTCCCGTGCAATGTCCATATTTGGTAAAGTAGGCGGGGATTTGCCCGAGACACACCTGGTTTGCTCCAATGGGCGTGCACTACTGTTCAAAATTTCGGGCAAAAGGGGTTACACACAGTTATGAGGATAATGCATCATGACATAACAAGTGCAAGGGGGGTTTACGCTGGAACATGTGCTGTACAACGCAGCCTGTTTGCATATGATTTGTATTAAATGTGCTACTTTGTCATTTTTTTGATTTTAAAGTCACAACATTTAAATACATAAATAAATCTTTCTAAAACAAGGCAACTGGGTGCTAGCCAGCCATTGGTGCTCATAGCCTAATTGAGAGGTAAATATCACATAACAATTGAGCATAAAAATACTTTTAACAAATATGTTTTAATAACATATCCGAGACCAGTTAATTAAAGGCTTTTTATACGCTTAACCAAATGAGTGCCTTGGAATATTTTGTTGTTTCATTTAATGTTTATATAAATAAATACATTTAAAAATGTGAATTTGGTGTTTTGGAAAATGGCTGATTTTAAAAACTGTAACAATACCAAGAAAATGAGTGTAAGCGAATTAAAACCATTGTATGCTAATAAAAGATTTGCTGCGTTCTTCCATATATTCAGATATTGACATTTCTGGACATTAGGTGAACAAGTTAGAAAAAAAAATTGTTCTTTAATTTGTGTCTTTTTCTTACATGTTTACATAAACTACTACTACCACTAGAAAACAAGTTTTTTTTTTCCTTATTCCACTGAAAGACTTTTTAAATTCTCAATTAATTTTGATATTATAATTTTTTAGAGAGAAAAAATAGTCTTGATTTAAGTAAATCAGTATTGGAAAACAAGACAAATGCAGTAAATTGCAATTTTCTGAGATTTAGATTTCATGAACAAACCCCAAACTCCACGTTCTTGATTTTTTTCCCATCAGTTCAGCATGTAAAATTGATTTCTGTAATTTATCTTCTATACTGTCACTGTTTATTTAACCATATGAGAAGCATTACATTTCTGATTTATGACTTTGTGGAACATCCATCCATTCTTGATGCTCAAAGTTCACATTACGGTGCTGAAAGCCAGCAACAGTAAGAGTGTTTACACATCTTCATTAGATGACTTACATCATTAGCAGCAGCTCAGAGCGCTTTATGGATGAAGAACTAAGGTTACGTGGAGTTCACATGGCTATAAGAGCTGCTGCTGGTTTTGAATCATGAAAAGAAGATTAGTCTCCGCTCAATTATCAGTTAGCTTATACCTCAAACATCCAATGAGAGATAAATGTGGGATTAAAGCGGATTGAGTCATTTTATAGGACTACCAAGATAACAAGAAAAGGATGTTTGTCTTACACATGCAAACACGATGAACTCAGTTCTCACGGCACATCTAGCCTAAGCAATTGGCCTTATGCACAGCTGCACTACTTCCTGAACTTAAGCCAGCTCCTTTGTTTCCTGTCTTCCATTATTGGACAAACTGATTAGTTCAGGTGTGCCTGACCTCAGTTGTCACGGCAACAATAATCAGACACACCTGAATTAATCAAGCTTGGCCAATAATGGCAGACAGGAAACAAAGGAGCTGGCTTAGATTCAGGAAGTAGTGCAGCTGTGCATAAGGCCAATTGATTTAATTTCTGCAAAGGTTATGCAAGACCAAGAACGTTTGGAGAAAACCTGTAATCTTTTAAAGTCGGCACGAAATGGAAGTTACAATAGTCTTTTCTTCTTTATTGTGATGGATATCTGTGTGAAAAACTTGATTTTGTACATCGGGAATTGATAGGATGAGTGACAAGTAGTCCCGCCCTTCAGCCAGTAAACACGTCATCAGAGAAGAGATGTCATTGCACGAGCGAGGGGAAGTTATTTTGATTCAAGATTCATACATTCATGCATAATATGGTAATGATTCGGAACTGTAAAAAGCCTTCACGTGCTTGTAGAACTTGTAATTACAACGTGTAAACTTGTAATTTTTTGAGAGCTATGACTAGTACCACGTGGCCGCTACCACCTGACCACTGCAGACCGATCGGTGTATGACATCAAATTACAGCGAGAGCGATTCAAAATACGTAGTTTGAGGCTATTTACGGTAATTACAACATGGCGTGAATGCACCATTTAGCAAAACTGCGCCTCCGGCAACTCGAATTCGATTTCCCGGCTCGAGGTCCAGTTCCTTTCTTTCAGTCTGATCCCTACTGTCATCCAATAAAGTGATAAAAATGCCAAAAGTAGGGTTCACTGGAACTAAAGGCACACCAGGGTAAAAGGCGCCTTTGATTTTATTTTTGCTCTTAACCACTAGATGGCACACAAACTTGCCGCAGCACTTTCCAAGATGCACGTGGAAATTCAGTACCTCATTGCAGTATACAAGATCCAGGAGGCGGAGTTGGATCCATGTCTAAGGCGTAGAGATGGGTAGGATTAGGGGTGGGGCTAGCGATCAGGGGGCGTAGATGGGTAGGTTTAGGTAAATGTAAGGTGTTACCCTTTGGGCAACAGCGCAAAGTTGATTCTTTGCTAATTTGATCCAATTTTTGATTGAATATTTTTTTTGAGTAGCAAATGAGAATCGGTCAAATTATTCAATATATTTTGAAACAAAAGTCTTCTTAATGATTTTCAGTTTTTTTTCAGTTCAAGGTAAAGTAACAGTTTTTCTATAAAGGAAGAATATGTAATAGTGTGGTATTTGGGGTAAAAGGCGCCCCTAGTGTTGGGGTGAAAGACAATAATTAACATGATGATAATAAACTGCTGGCTGACATTTCCATTTGTTGACATGACATGGTTAGATTCAAATGGTAAATATCATATATTAAGTTGGATGTCCACCTTAGAGATTATCACAATTTTATGATGAAACCATCATATTTAATCATAGCATATGGGATCTCCCTCAATGCTTTCAGAATCTTTACTTGAACAAGTATTAACTAAGACATTATTAAAAACATTTGTATTTGTATAAATAACGTGTGCCTTTTGTCCAGTGTGTGGGTTAAAAAGCCAAATTTGCCACCTCATAAATGTATACAATGTTTAAATAATTTTATGATTTATTTTCACAGACAATCTGTTGCTCCATCAATTTTCAGTAGAAACACACACACACACACACATATATATATATATATATATATATATATATATATATATATATATATATACATATACATATACATATACATATATATATATATATATATATATATATATATATATATATATATATATATATATATATATCTGCACTCATACACTATGGGAGGAGCGAAAAGCATTTTTCTTTGAATTTTTTTTTTTTTTTTTTTTACGAGAGCACATGAAAAAAAATGTGTATGGAGAGAGAAATATATAGCTTAAAAATATTGCAATATTACATTAAAAACAACAATAACAATTGTCCATTTTGATTTTATGGTGACGTTAAATGCAGCTGAGAGAACTGACTAACCGCAGCAAAGCAGGGTATGTTACCCATACATATCTATGATGTTACCCCCCCCATCTGAGAAACCTTGTGACACTGCAAATTGGTTGTTCTAAATTGAAGCTATTTTACACTCCCACGTGAAGTAGAAATGAGTGTTGTCAAGGTTCTGATGCCACTATAATCAACAGCCAATTAAAAAACACGTCTGTAGCCTACACTTCTCCAGAACTGGGAATTATGTTAAAAGATTGATACAGAACATCGGCTCTTTGTTTGCATTCAGAACAACTGAAGAAAAACTCATAGAGACCGACACATAAAACAGTTGATAAAGATTGATGTTGTAAGGACTGAAATTACCATGACGGAGTTATTTATAGTTAATTTCATCCAGGCTTGTGAGAATTTCCTGTAAAAAGCATGCAGAGGGGAAACAATAATATATATTAAGGTCTCAAATAGAGAGAGAGAGAGAGAGAGAGAGAGAGAGAGAGAGAGAGAGAGAGAGAGAGAGAGAGAGAGAGAGAGAGAGAGAGAGAGAGAGAGAGAGAGAGAGAGAGATGTTTGGTTTTATCTTTTAGTGGTTAGATATAGTTGATTGCTCTTAGTAAAGCCTCATTTTATGGTATCTGTAAATCCTGAATAATTAGGACAAAGGTTTTTAATTTTGACTGATTTTCATTTAATTTATAACCTAAATACTGAAAGACTGCAGTTTTAGGCAAGGTCAAAAAATACATGAATTAAATAAGTAATTTCTTTCTTTCTTTCTTTCTTTCTTTTTTTTGTTTATAAAAAGGGATAAAAGTGGAAGAAGTCACCATGGAAGTCACACGATTATTTTCATGTTTTTTCCACCTTCAGCGTTGTATTTGAAATGTACAGGGCAAGTCTGCCCTCTACTGGTGTAAATAAGAATATAACTCCACTGTGTCGTCGCCGAGATATCGATTCTCAAATATTTAATTATTTATATCCAACCATCCAAGATATTTGCTTTAAAACCTTTAGATTTATGAGCAAACACTATTAAGCAATGGAAATGGACGTATATTATTAGACAACAATACATAATAAGAGTCCACATCCCACAAAATCGTTCAGGGATTGGGAATGATTTAAAAAATGTCCCCGCCATCTTGCGTTTTCGATAAACTTGTCAAACTAAATAACGCTCGCGTAACTTGCCGTCCTCGGCAGTTTGCCCTTGATACGAAGAAATGAACAGGTTGTTGGACGGCATTAGATTTGAGTTGATTTGGAAGCAGTGACACTTCAGACTCGGGAGGGGGTAGTGAGCAACAAATGATGCATGTAGCCTACCCTATGATTCACACAGTGAGCTAACCTCCTTAGCTATTTAAGTCTTGGTTAAACACGGTTAATTACAAGTGACATAAATAATAACAGGATACACGAAATATTTAGCTGTCTTGGCTACTTTTTTTCTTCATTAGTTCACTCCAAAATGAAATTTCTGTCATCATTTACTCACCCTCAAGTTATGAATTTCTTTCTTCTACTGAACATAAAAGATATTTTGAAG